GATTATATAAGATCCTTTAATTGTTGGGGGGGGGGTGGGGGTGGACGGGAAGGTCCAAAGTATGTACAGACAAATAAAGCCAAATAAAAGAAGTAAATCATCATACAAGTCTATTAGTAATAGTGGCACTCTCCAACCATCAGCTGTTTTGTTTCAGAGGACCATGGACTTTACACTACAATATAATCATGTATAATTATAAGATTCTGAAAGGGAGGACTGGCGTCTGTGATGTAGAGATTAGTCGCTTCGCTGTCGCTTGCAGGAAACTCGAGTTCAATTCCGGAGTGTGGAGAATTTTTTATCGAGTTATTTGGGATATTGTACCTTTCTCAGCACGTGTTGGCCCTGACTAGTGACTAGGCGGAGTCGGAATCCCGCCTCCTAAAATGATATGCAAATTGCGTCGATGGGTGCGCGAAAACACGTACGGTTTTGTTTTGTTTTGTTGGGGGTTTTTTTTTGGGGGGGGGGGGTTGTTGTTTTATTTTAATCAAGCGGAGGAATGACATCGTACTCAAGACTTGAGCTTGGAAATAATAATATGAGAATGAGATATTGTTGCTGGCTCAGAATCGCTTGCTCTTTCTGTTTTATTTCTGGGTTTTCTTCTTCTTTTATTTTGTTCGGTAGTTAATCTTGTGGCTGCACTTCTGTGCGTATGTGGCGTATGTGTGCGTTTATGTTTATGCATACGACATAACTTTCAAAATATTGGGCTTAGTACATTTTACCAGCTGCTCGACGATTTGCCTCTCTCTGTGTCTGTTTACATAACGCCCCGACGTGTACATCTGCCTGTATCTCTGTCTCGAATGGCCCTTGACTTGACGACAGCGCTAGAAGAAGAAAAGGAAGAAGAAGAGATCGTTGCAAGAAAGAATTAACCTCCAGCTCTCACTAAACTCTTCCCCACATACAGTGGAATGACGAAGACACACACACGGTGTCTGACCTCGTTATGGGTTGAATGTATTGTAAATTGTCATCGGGGCTCGGGGAGGCCAGTTTGAAGCTTGCCGTCTTTGTTTAGAGAGGCAACACCGCAGGTGATTTTTGTGTGGAAAGCAAACAACCGAGCTCTCATTAACTCCTGAGTGTCGAGAGAGAGCAGGATTTGTACACACACACTGCGCAACAGTATGGCTTTTACAGTGCGGCCGGGGG